CGGTCAGCTGGCCTGAGCTGAGCTTAACAAAGTCCCACTAACAACAACAACAACAACAACAACAACAAACACAACAGCAAATCAGTAAACCTTAATATTAAAGGGGAATTGTAGATGCCGGTTTAAATATCATGGCCAAGAATTTACTAAAAAAGAACAAAATAAGCAGAGCAAAACCCTGAGATATTCTGCTCACAGATATTGCTACTGCACCTGCCTATTAACTCAATTTGAAAGTACTTAGCCCGGAGGGGCTTTCGGAAGGTGGGCGTGAGCTGCAGCTGCTCAGCAAATACTTTGATTTACTTTTCAAGCACTTTGAAACACTCTGCTAATGCTTACATATACTACAAAACAGTGCAGCACTGAGAGGATATTTATTTCTATATTTTATTCGCTTTGCAACTATTTCGGCAAAGGCTCCATAAGCTCAAATAACTTTGGGTTGAGAGCTTAAATAAAAGTTAAATTAGTTTTTAAATAGTTACGGCCAGTTCACCTCATTCACTTAAGGCATAGAGTCAGGGACGGACACATAAATATACGGCACACCACATAAATTCGATATACCTCTGTCTGCCCGTCTTCAGTGAGTTCAAGGCATAATTATTGACAGAAAATCACAAACATTAACTTTTGCTTCGTGTGCAAACTTTTGGCATCGTGTGGCAGTGACTGAACGTAGGTCATCAGTGGGATTATAATCCCTTGTTTTTGGCAACGCTGCCGTGGCTCGCCTTGACTGGCAATAACAGTCACAAGTCCTACGTGCTCCTGACACCAGGCAGACTACGGACCATAAGCATGTGCTGCATGCAGGCATTCTTGTGGCAGTGAAAGTATTGGCAGGGCATTTTTGGCATGGCTGCAGCATACGAGAATTTGCAATCGCGAGCAGCGACCACAGCTGAAGTAAAAGGGAGCTGCAACAAAAATGCCGGAAGCCATACGAATTTCCGTTGCCAGAAAAATATAAGCACTTTGTGCTTGCCAGAGTGTGCTGCTGGTTCGTCAATTGTGTGATTCGGGGGCAACTGAAAAACGAGCTGTCTGACTTTCTGACCGACAGTCGGACGGACAGACGGACAGACGGACAGACGGACAGACGGGCAGACGAGTCGACGGGAAAGCGCTTTCCTTGTTAATGAATGCGTCCTGACCTGTTCTCCCATTAGCCCCGCTTTTGTTTCCATATATGTCTGTATATTTGCCAGCACCGGCAGCGGAGGACGAAAAAAGGGTGAGCTTTCACAATAAATATTACAAACAACTCGTTTAAATTTTAAATTTTACTACCTACAGCAACAGCAACGACGACGGAGCGCGCTTGGCACAGTGTCAAGCATTTGGTATTGCCCCGGTATAGGTACAGGTACGGGTACGGGTTGCCGGGGCCGTTGATGTTTCGGGTGGCTTTTAACTTTATTAAAATAAATGAAAACGAGCTAAGCTTGTCTGCAGCGCTGTAGCGGAGCTGAGCTGCGACTGTTATTAAAACGAAGAGGCAAGGCACACGCGCACACATACATAGATTTTACAGCCAATAAAGGACTTTCACATTTGGTGGTGCACCTCAGCAATATGTGCTTTCTTCAATTTAAAATTTTATTTATTAATGGTTAGCTAATACGCGAGAAGTCGATAAGCCAGCTGGCAAAGTATCAGCTTTCAGCTACACGGAAAACAAAAGTGTGTATGCGTAAGTCAATGGCCGAGATAAACCCGACCATAGTCGTGGCCAATCTGAAATAAAGCCTGAACGTAGAACACTCCTTGGAAATCCAGTTACAGTCCGTTCGTTCCGTCAGCCAGTTAAGTCAGTCAGGAGCCAGTAGGCAAAGGAAAGGACGAAACCTAAAAGCATGTCGATATTAGGCAAGATAAATTGAAAATGAATTGCCAAATAGAGTGAGTCGGGTTTGCCGGAAGAAGAGGAGCAGAGGAGCATAGGAGCAGAGGAGTAGTGGAGTAGCGGGCCATTTCATGGAGTTCCAGCAAAAACGGTGCTCGGTCGAAATACGCAAGCAAGGTGTGGAGGGAGGCAGTAGAGACAACGTAACATAGCATTCGGCAACGCAAGGGCCACGTCAATGGCATTAAGTCAGTCGCAGTGAAGGCATCAAGAGAATTGAATGAAGCGGAAACGGAAACCAGCTAATGAATAAGGCACAACGAACCAAATGAACGCCACAGTCTTGATGCCTTGCCGACTTATCCTGTCCTGTTCTGTCCCGCCCCGTTCCGTCCCGTGTCGTCCATGAGGGCCCCAAAAACCAAAGTTAAACTGCACAGTTCAGTGGCTCGGTAAGGTTTACGCGGCTTTGACCACGCTTTGACTAACTAACGACCTTCACAGTTTATAAACAATTGAATATATGTGTGTGTGTATGTAGGTCTTTTGGCAGGGCCAACAATGTGAATAACTTCGATTATTGTAACAATGGCACAATCAAACTTTTCCTTAGCTCCGGCTAACTTATTGTGCGGCTCCGTATTTCCTCGATTCGATACACTTATATATAAAATTGCAGTAGTCAATAAATACAAACCTAAACGTCGACTGGGAGCTTTAATCTTTCACTACAAGTTGTTTTAAAAGGCAAACAACGTGAGAGCGAAAAATGACGGCTGAGGAGTGCCGAGGCAGCTTCCGATCAAATGCACAAACTAAACAAATGTTCAAGCAAACAATCAACATCCCAAACAGAGAAGTAGAGCGGGAGTAGCGATGGCCACGGATGCTGGGGGTCCGGAGACTTGCGTGCCATTGACGTTGATGATACTGCTGCAGGGGAATGTCTAAAACGCACGCTTCGCAAAGTGTCGATAACAATTTACACTTGAGACGATATCTCAATATTGTCGCACGTCAAAAACAGCATCGATGGCAGCCGACAAACCACAGCGACTGTCCCGGGGCAAGGGTACGGCCACGGATCAGTAGGACAATGCTGACCATGATGAGCCAAGCTGGAGCTGAATGCGATGATAGAACTGATGCGATTACCACCTCTGCCGCTGCGATGTCTCAGTATTGTTTTGTTTATTTAACTGGTACCGAAAACAACGGAGGAGCAATGCCCGTGGTGTCAGCCAAAAAACTGACATCGTTTCAAGTGGCAGTCAAACGATTGCCTCCCCGTGCGTGTAAACAAAAGTCCACAGTAAACAAGTCAAATGACAGCTACAAAAATCTGAAATCATCTGAAGTGTCAAGCATAAGTATTTCCCTTATAGATAATAATCAACAGGCAAGGAAGTCGAGCCGAACCGGCTCAAGTCAATAGTTACGAGCTCCGATTACCCAAAGGTCTAAACAATTGCAAATCTGTTTATATGTATATAACTCATTTCTGTTACGCTAATGTCTATAAAAGATGATTTTATGCCAGTTGAGCGACAATTTTAGAATGCCGACTATGTTACTAATCTTTGTTTTAGCTATCATTAGGATATCACACCCTTTTAATCGTCATGAGGATTATGATTTACACGAGGTCGTGCACTCCTGATTAGATCCCTCAGAGACTTGCTGTTTTCAAGTACATCAACGTTCTTGTAAATATTTATAAGTGGAAAGCGAAAAGAACAGAATGGAAAGGTAAGTGGGCTCGCAGAAATAAGCTATAAATATTAAGCCGCGCTCTGGCGAGGGCCAGTCTGGCATCCAACAGCTTACGAATGGCTAGAGCCAGCGCTAAGCACTCTTATGATTAGCCACTTTAATATTTACCTAGCCATCCTTGCTGATGGTAATTGCAGGCACTCCTGATTCGAGCGATTAATTTGCGGGCGGTGCGGCTGCAGTGCCTGGGACAGCGTGAAATTCGCATCAAATGTGTATCTAGGAAGTCATTCGACAAGGGATGAGCCTCAGCCCGAAGCCCGGCTGGGCTGATATTCAAATTAGTGAGCGGCACTTGGCATATTTGTCTGATGCTTAACCGAGTTGGCACACGCAGAGCCAACACACCCAATCCAGATCGAGAGCCGATCTGTGCACTGTAGTTAGTGGCAGATATATTGGCATTGCGGAATCGCTCAAGTGCGCTCTACAATGGCACTCGTTCAGACAATGTTAAATGCGCGCTCTTTGGCTCTGCCTGTCAACTCAGCTCAAGTGGCCCTGTCCCGCCCACTCCGACCTCTGTCCCACCTCTGTCATCCACCAAGGCCTCTCTCTCTCCCTCTCCTCGCGCTCTTCCTCTCTGACTATACCAAAGCAGAGCAAGTGCACTTGTCACAATCATTGACATCAATTCGTCGCAGCTGGCTTTTTAGCTGGCGCACGGTTGGGGTCACAGCCCCAGCGAGAGCGAGGGGAAAGGGCGACGTAGCCTAAATGTTTTGGCATAATATGAAGCCCATTAAAGCTGGCCAACGTGGGCTAGGCAGCAAATATAATAGCAAATCATTCTCAATTCTCACTAAATAGGGTAGTTTGCTTTATTTCGAAATGCATATGATAGTCATAGCGGTAGTAATCAGCCGGGTAATCAGCCACCTCGAACTATCCTATCCATATCCATTTCTCTTTTCGTCCATCGTTTGTGTTCCTGTTTAAGAGCCAGTTTCAACCCTGGGTATGTCGACTGCTCCAGATTATACATTATTATGGACATAATGGACAGCTCCCCTATTCGCGTGCTTGTCGTTTCTCCGTAAAATCGAAAACAGTTAAAATTTGTTTTTGTTTGTTTGATTGTTGTTTTTTTTTTTTTTTAATGCCGATGGGTACTTTTGAAGATTGAAGATTTATGCATAACGTCAAGCTAAGCATTTACCATCTATGCATTTTTCGCATTTGTTGTCCATTGCCACATGCACTTGCACTTGAATATATGAATACATATATATGTATATAGGCATATATATACATATGAATATATGGGCATATACATTGCATATGTTCGGACATTTATAACAAGACAATCTAGAGGCCGTGGTATGGTATATAGTATAGTTGTGTTCGTAAACATAGTCAGTGTCCGTCCTTCACCCAGTTGCTACGTGGTGTGAATCCTCAGGGTGTTGTAATTGAATTTGCTTTTATATGTGGGTGGTGCTTGAAGTTCAGGCCTTGGTGTCGGGCCACGTGTGCTGTAAGAGAGTCGGTATTTAACTTCTCCAACTAAAGTCTTAAACTTAAGACACTAACCAGGCACTGTGAAACTCGCAAAGATTCCTATTGTCCGCCTCTGCACTGCTCTGCGGGGTCTTCGTTCCATAGGATTTCAGCATCAGCCGGATGTTGTTCTTCATGGCTCGAGGACATTGGTTGTTCCTGCTACACAGTTCAAAGATCCCAGCCAGTTGCTGAGAGAATAGATTCTCCAATGCCTTCTCCGGACTGGGCGTCCGCGAGTGCTGCGGATTAACGTATGACATGATCCGCGACACGGTGCGCTCGTAATCAAGGGGCAGGCCAGTTGATCGATCTACGCGGAACAACCGAGGCACTCTGTCCTTTGGCTTGGGCTTGGTCACGACGATTGTCTTACGCCAGACGCGATGCTCAATGCGTTGCAATTGGCCATTGCCAGAGTTCCTGTAGCTCTGCTTCAAGATGCGCTGCTGCTGGCGCTGCATTTTGGCATTGTTGGGCTTGGGCGCAAAATTTACGTTTCCAGACATTGGCCTTTGTTTCCTTTGGTTTCCAATGGCTTTTGTAAGAGACATACTCAAAATAAAACAACTTAAAGACTTCCAATTTTGCCTATTCCAAAATATTTATATATTTTTTTGTTGAATTTTTTGTTTTTTGTTTTTGTTTGTTTTAATTGGAATTTTAGACTGAATCAAAATTGAATGAAAGCTTCACTAGATTAACTCCAAAAGCAAAGACAAAGCCTCCTCACACATACAAAACTCTTTGTTCCAGGCAGAAGGAATCGATGCAGAGCAGTTTCGGATGGGAAGATGGTAGATTGTTGTAATTATTTAACTTGTACTCAGATAAAAATAAATACACACACATACACACACGCACGCACATGTAAGTGGGCAGACACAACAAGTTGCAGGTTGCTGCGGCTGGCCACAGGCAACTTAACTTTTGAAACAATGTCAAATACAATAAACGCTTGCTCTGCATGTTATTGCAAATGACACCAACACAAGCGAACAGCCTCCACGCAGACACATCAAAGTGCTCATGTGCTTTCGTTATTGTTATCGTTATTGTTGTTGCTGTTGCTGCTGTTGTTGCTGTGTTATATTCGCATATGCCTGTGGGACCGCATTATTGCATTGCAAACGAACAATAGCAATTGCAATTACTTCTAGTTGATGTAAGTATGTACAACTGTAAGTAATCGTTGCTGGGCGATGCACGATGAAATACGAGAGCACTCACAGAAAGAGAGAGAGAGGGAGACATTCACATACACATACACAGATATGTATGGCTGCGTCCACTCACGCACATCTGCACGAGATGTGCGCTGCAATGGAAGCTGCACAAATAGAACAAAAGCAATATAATTAATTATCAAAATACAAGCCAAGCAGAAACAGCACGATGTAACAGCGATACACCCGCCACAAGCAAAGTCAGAGCATGGATCATCACTATTCCGAGAGAGTAAATACTATTGTAGCAGTCCCACAAGATGAATGGCATAAGCAAATGTTGCAAACCAAGTAACAAGACTTCTCAGATATATATCAACTTGGCGCTGGCATTGCTTGCATTTCAAATCGATACAAAGATGAGATAAGAAAATATGGAATGTGTGAAATTGATAAGAGATGTGAATAAATGGTGGGAGGGAAAGTCTTTGGCTCTTGCACTAATAAATAAATCTAATTAATTTTACATGGTTCATTCTGTACTATATGTATATTGAGTATTGGTGTATGTATGTATCCTTATCAAACTGCCTTCTAAATATAACAGAGCAACAAAAAAAGTGAAGGAAAAGGCTGCGTGAGGAGGAATGGAAAGAACCAAAAATAGATTTGTTCTCTTTTTATAATGGATTTTACATGTTAGTCGAAAGCGCTCTCCAATTGCTTTCAGATCGTATGGCGCCCAGAATGATGTTCTTGCTGTTGCTGTTGGCGATGCTAATGTCGAGAGATGGCAACAGCAACAGCAACAGCAACAGCAACAACAGCAATAACAACAACAATGTCAACAGACAGTAGCTATAATGAAAGTATAACGAGACATTAAAATCTCATTTCATTCCTATACAACAATGTTTACAGGCGAAATGTGTTCTGCTCAGGTGTCCTTCTGGCAGGGAGTGAGCGAAGGCTAACAAATTGTTGGGATATTATGAAGAAATAATGGAAATGTATGTGAATAATCAAGAGCAATCTATCCAGATTACACGTGGGAACTTTGGATGCGCTTTGTTTCAGTGGCCTACTTTTAGGCAGTTGCCCTCTTCGAACAGACAACAGCAGTTGAATAGTGGTAATTGGCGTCGCCTCTATGCACTTTGTGAGCTATCCGAGTATTCCTCAGGATGTTTGTGTCTGCAGGCATTTTTATGGAAGCACTTCGATCCCCTTTATGGGTTCAAAAACAACATTGCATTTTATCGCCGACATGTTCTCGGCTATAATTAAAATACACACTCGAGTGCAAATGCAACTTACAATCCAAAAGTTTATTTGGTCGAACACCACAAGAGCAAGGCCATTACAAGCTCTCTGCTGCATGTGAAGTGCCTGCTGCATGGCCGTCCATGACATGACCGCAGAGCCAATTCAAGAGCCCGGAGTGACTCGACTTAATGGAAAATCGACCACAGAAACAGTAACAACTTGAACGATTCAGGAATTGCAACATTCGACGACCACTCGAAGGACTGAAACGAAGACCCTAACAGTGTGCAGCAATTGACATGCTTGTAGTGTCCTGCCGCACGCCACGAGGAGGATAACACAATTCACACAACTCGGAGGTTCATCGAGTAGTTGAGCAGTGCTAAATCGACTCTCTGATTGCCGATCGAACATTTGCATTGCCTGGACTCATAAACACTCACTAAATACGCGTCATTTATCAGGAGGCGTAAACGAGGATAGCAGAAAGTGGGAAAGGTGACGAAAGTGAGGTAAGCCTATGCCCGTCTATTATTACCAAATCTTGCAGTCAATCAACTATATATGTACATATATATACATGAACAGTCTGTTCTATGTGATATTTATATACTTATACCTACAACATGTTTCTCTGCCTCACATTCGATCTATCGTCTGCCAGGATATTAAGTGGGGTCAGTTTTGTGAGGGTTGTCGTCGGCGCTGCGAGCCAGCTTTGTCCTGCAGATTGTCGTCGGCGCCATTAAGCACAAGTTTTACGAATAAGCAACGCGGAAAAGTGTACAAACAAACCGCCAGTCGCAGGTTCAGCCTTCTGGCCACGCGATTTTCAGCAAACTAATTCAAGTGTTCCGTGAAATGAGTCGAAAATTGACATTCAATTTTCGAGACCATTGCACATTGCCAAGCGCCGAGCGCCAACCGCACTGCAATGGAGTGCCGAAAATAAAGGTGCGACACGGTGCTCCAGCGGAGTTCAGTCAGCACTGGATTTACGGCATTGCACCAAGTGCTTGAAGAGGAGGAATGCCATACAACCTTTAAAGATATCCAATACGAACAACGATTCACGACCATAAGCACAGACTATATACATATGTATATCAAAGATTGTGGATATTCCATATATAAAATGTAAATTTAGTAGCGAACAAACTTAAAGGTTTTGCTGTATTGCTGTATTGCTCGGCGCACAGGTAAAACTGTAATCAGTATACAGTTGACTGAGCGCTTTTAAAAGACAGTTAGTGCGACAGGTGAGGCAAGTGTGAAGCTGAATCGTGCATATGACTTAACGTGTTTCGAAAGTTCAAGTTGTGCCATTGTTGCTGCTGCCCTGCACTTGGCCTATTCTCGTCCCGCATGTGCATGCGAATAAAGGGCAACGAGGACCACATTGGCATCATCCAGCACGCAATTTCGTGTGGGGACCTGGCCAGCGGGGGGCCATCCATTGTGTGGATATGATGATGACAAGGACACAAGGAAGACACAAGTATAAAATTTCAATGGAACAGTAGTGTCTTCTACGCTTCGTCATTGCTGGCTACGTTGCTAAGGCCAGGTCTTTGCACAGGCAACAAGGCAATCAAGATTCGTTGTCAGATGCACCGAGCAGCCAAATGCGCTTGGCCTAAGCAGTAACTAGGAAGAAGCAACAAGGCATGGCATGGAACAGGTCATGGTAGCTTGCTTCAAGCAAGCACCCAATTAGACGTGCAGTCGCTCTCGCTCTCTCTCTCTCTCTCTCACTCTCACCCACTGCCCACTCTTTGTCCCGCGGCTCCGTGATTCCATCGTTCCGTCGTCCCACTGTCCACCCGTCCCGCTGCAACTGCTGCAACTGCAACTTTCGCACTCACACTCACCATAATTATTCACGAACTTTTGCGTAATGAGTGTGTCGCAGTGAAGCCGCCAACAAGAAGAAAAAGAAGCGCCCGAATTCTGTCGACTTTGTCCCCTCGCACTGGCGCAGCTCATTAAATATTTAATAGCGAAATTAAAAGAATATGCAAACTGTGCACAAAATGCTCTGACATGGCTTGCCACAGAGAAAATCCCACCAAATGTGCATTTCCAGCTAAAAAACTTGCACTGTAGTCGAAAATGGAAAGAGATAGACAGAGAGAAAGGGAGAGCGAGAGAGGAACTACGTTAATTATTTACACAATTGTTTATTAAAATTACTTTTAAAACTTGTTAATTTCGCAATAGAGTTTCAATTCGTTAATAAACACATATTTACACGAAACTTTCTCGACTCAGGCCCGACCGGCTGTCTGTCGAGTCGAGCGTCGAGCGTCGAGCGTCGAGCCTCGTCTAGGCCAGCGCGTGAGTGCCAGCGAAATAAACTTGTTCAAGTATATATTTGTTTTTATTGATCGCTTGCGGTTGTGCACAATTTAGATCAAGGATATCGATACGGCTCCATGTTCATGCCAAGGCATTTTGTCAATGCTAAAGAACATTTATGCCCATTTTCATTTCGGCGCAGAGTGCCTCGTGAAAACTTGATAGGCAAAGTGGAAAATAATGTGGCTCGGAAGGCAGCACCAACACCAACACCAGCAGCAGCAGCAGCAGCATGAGCAGGAGCAGTAGGAGCGTCGGAAAATGTCCTTGCCTCTGCTCGAATTGTTGTTGTTCGTTAGCATGGAGTAACAACGAAATTAAATTATTTTCAAGTGAATTTATCAGCATGGCCTAAACGTTGCTGCGTAGCACCCGGAAATTGCTAAATATTTTTGTGTTGCCAATTGAGTTTTTAAGACCGGCATTAGACCCGCCGAGGCACTTATGATTCTGTTATTAACGACATAATTAAACAATAAACTGGTTATGCTCGTATCGTCGGCCCATCGACCGAATGAATTTCGATTTTATGATGAGGCCAACTGAGCCTGAACCATGTGCACAGTCTCGCATTTTCCCTTCCATTGGATTCTAATTGTGAATTAACTCGCATTTATTTACAGTGAAAAAAAATACGTTATTCATTAAATGCATTGCCACAGCATCCTTACGCGTCTGAGAGAAAAAGTAAAAGCAAATGCACCCCACAATCCAATATAGACACGAATCCAAAGCAAACCCCCGATTCAATAGAGGGCAGCCTATTCGACACATAGACGGCCAGCTCAACTGATTTTTATAAAGACAGCCGACAAGACACATTTGCTCACGAGGAGGCAG